TTTAATGCAATAATTTATATTCTTCCAGTTCTTGTGGCGAAAGTGAGTGAAATGTACAAAATTCACAAACAGACGTTTCAAGAAATACGTGGAGGGAATATCGATTGCGCGTATTTTATTCATCCTCGTGCGTGCACGATAAATATCTATCCATGTCAAATGACTATTCTCTTCGAAGGGATATCGATAATTCTTTAACGATTTTCAAGATTTACACGTGTCTTATAAAACAGCAATTCTTCGAGTTCTTTCGTCAGTCAAGTCTTGTTAATTTAATAGAAAATCCAAACGAAAAGAGATTTCACTACGATTACTCTCTTCGTCAAAATTATTTACAACGTGTCCTACGAAAGAACACATTTTCTACCTCATCAAACACGATTTTTAATCATATTTCTGCTTTTCTGTCACCATTCCTTTACAATCAATCTGAATTCAAATAAAAAGATTCGATAACGATCCACTTTTCCATCTCTAAAATTTTACAAAACTTCCATCAGAATCCATTTTCAACGATTCCATCCCCAACATATCCCATCGAGCTCTACTCTAAATTCTAATTCTCAATCGATCGAACAGAATTACTCTTGCTACTCTCCTTCATCACGACAGTCGGTTTCACCACGGCTCGACTCCACAACTCGACCTTCGTCCACGTTAAATCACGGATATCAAACCTTTCCCTCTATTTCTAGAATGACGAGAATCGCCATCGTTTGAAACCTCGAGTTTCAGAGTTTCTATCGCCGCTCGCGTGCTTTGTTGCATAAGATGTATATCGCCGGAGCGTAATCTTCCGAAGGAACCACGCCAGCTTAACATTCCACCAGCTTGCATAACGAAAACAACGTTCACCGACGTGTGCGCATTTTGCACACAAACTCCGCTCTCCTACTACTACGTACCTATACGCGTTAAGTATAGCAATCGCCGGCGAGATAACGCCTGTATCCTTGACTCTAGTCGTATGTGTACGCGTGTATCGTGGTGCGTGCGCCACATTGAATGCTCGCGTCGAAATATAATCGAACGATAATCGAAGAGTTTGGAGAAGAAACGGATCCTTGTCTAATTTAATTCCGTTCCAAAGAGTCTCTGAGATTTGAGTCGGTCGAATCAAATGGATCTTTTGTATATGTGTAAGAGAGTGATTGTCGCCAAGGATGTATCATTTTCGATAATAAAAACATCGTGGAAGGATTATAAAATTGCGATTTTCAATTGCGGAAGATTAGTAGATCTTTTGTAATTATTTTCCAATAATTTTGATTTCTGGTTTTGTTTCGTTAACTAAATATCACGCCAGAAGAAATGTGACTCAAGAGTTCACAGTTGTGAGAAAGAAAGAGAGAGAGAGAGAGAAGTGACTCATAGTGCAAAGGGTATTGAGACCGATCTTTCGAACCGAAAGACGAAAAATTACATAAATATTTCCATTTGAAAAAAGAGAAAAAAAATAATAATAATAAGTATAAGATTGTGTGCCACGAATTTTGGAAATTTCGCGAGAGATGAGTACGAAGTCGTGATCCCGCGTGAAATTATAACATCGTGCCAGGTACGTCTTTGGATACGTGATGTTGATGAAATCGAGAGGAGAAATGTCACGGCTTGCGTGAGGAGAAGAGTTGTTGGGAGTGCGCGGCTGTCCACGCTCGAGCCGCGTGAAGGTTAATGTTAACGGGTTCGTGATAATGACTTTTTGAGTGATCGAGTTGGATACCTTGATTCGATTGGGAACGTAGATTGACACGGACACGTTGTCGTGGGGTAGGTTGGGATCCATTTGCCGACAGAGAAATTTTCTTTCTCTCTCTCTCTCTCTCTCGAACTCGAAACAAACTCTGTAAATTAACGATAATGTAAAATGTACGATAAACGATGTTTATATTAACCTGCGTTAATATTCACCGATACGATGCAATTCGATACGAGAGAAAATATTATTATTCTTCGACGAAGAGGTGCACGATGATTTACGATCGCAGAATTTAACAATAGACGGTGAAAGTCTATTGTACATTAGATTGCGAATACCTGAATTAACAATTTCGATGTAGTGTAATTTGCACATCATCGACACGATGTTTATTGAAAAAAAAAAAGAAAAAAGTATGTTCATTTGTTAACAATCATCCAAGTTACGAAATAACTAAATGGTATTTTAATTTAAAACAATTTCTCTGTTTCATTCACGCAAGAGTAATCGTATATATTAATTACGATTTTAAAAAGAATATATGTATATATATATATATATAATTGAAACGAATAATTGAAATCTTCTGTAAAGAGAATCGATGAAATCACCGTGAAGGAAATGTCACGGTTCGTATAAAGGGTGGCGTTTCAGAAAGTGTATGACGGATCGCATCCAGGACGTAAGAAAGGTTGATGTTGGCGAATTCGTGACATTTACGATCTGTGATGTAATTTAAAGTTATTTAGCATAAATGTGGTTTATGAAAGAGATTGGTGTTCTTAGACATTCTGCCAGAGAATTTTCCTTGTAAAAATTATATAAGATATTCCCAATTATTTATCGAGAAAAATTTCGCAACTTTTTTTTTTTCTTAATTTAAACGACACTGCTTAAAATTTATCCTTAAAAGTCGAGCAAGTGATGAATTTTGTCACGCTTATAAACGCATCGTTAAATATCGTACGAATATTTCTTCCTTATAAGTAAAAATTAATTTTTAATAAAAAATTTTTCATAAATAAAGTGAACGAAATAAATAATTAATAATAATCGAAAATTACGCAGTATATAGTCATTGAACGTGCAGTTCGAATGGTCGAGGGTCAACGATCTCTTCTGGTTAAAATCTTGCACGATCCACAGCACGCGAAATCGCACGCGTCTAAAAGCATACGATCGCAAGTTTGAATTCCAGCGGGTTCAACGTGAATGTTACTCTTACCAAACATAGTGTTTAGGTACAATGCATCCTCGAGAGAGTACCACCTCGAGCGAACCACTCGATATTCGTATTTACGCCAATGGTGACCACACGAGCGGGTTAAGCTGGTCGTAAAAATAATTCACGGTTCTCCTCGTTCCCTTCCAATTGAACGTAACAACTCAAAACAAAAGCATCTCGAATTGGGATGATTTACGGGCCAATAACGGGCGCCCTTTGAATTTAACATTCGGCGCAAAAAAAAAAAAAAAAAAAAAGAAGAAAAAAGAAGAAAAAAGAAAAATGAACTTCTCGAAAGGTGTAATAAATTCCTCGTTACGGGCGGTTACATTTCTTCTCAGTGAACGAGGAGAAGAAAAATCGAGACACGCGAAGGATACACCGTCGAGGAATCTCGAAATATAAAAAAAAGTGAGCGGGAGTGGCAGGTTCGGTGGCGTGTTGCAAAATCTATATAATGTATAAAATGATTCAGAAGAAGCACGTGCTCGTTCAAATTTACGTTACTCACCAGCAGGAAAAGTACCGTGCTCGTGGCAGTCGCTTCGAACGATATTCCGCACGCCATTTCTCGCGATCGAACCATCAGACCTCTCTCTCTCTCTCTCTCTCTCTNTCCTCTCTCTTCTCCTCCGCCTCTCCTTCTCCTCTACCAGACCATCCTGAGAACTTGTCAGCGAGGCATGCGGCTTCTTCTTCTTCTTCTTCTTCTTCTTCTTCTTCTTTTTCTTCTTCTTCTTCTCCTTCTTCTTCTTCTCTCTGAATTAACCTCGAATTAACCACTTTAATCCACCACAAAAACCACCACGATATTCGAACTCGGCCTCTCTCCTCCCTCCTCCCCCCTCTTCTATCGTCTAGACACGATGATCGAAACGCA